TCCTTTACAGTGCCATTCTTATTGTGCCCATATTAGTCTTTGTCAAAATGTTTGTCTCGCCAATTTGCCACACTTGCAACAAACGCCCGCATGTACTTCTTGCATTGTTACCGATTATACTTGTAGTTGACATTTTTTTTCTTTTTCTTGTGCACAGCAAGATTTGCCGAGCACTACTTTCGCGCAGTTTTTGATATTGCTCTGTATGGCACAGCATTTGGGGTCAGAATTTCTTTTTTCTTTCTATTTGAATCAAGACGTTCCCTTTATTTTTCTACACAATATTTGTACTACTGTATAATCTACTCAATATTTTTTTTGTACTTCCTACAAATAGTTGTGTTGATTGTATCGCCTACTCCTGCCTAAAGTCTGGCATTCAGACTGGCAGTATTCTCCAAAATAAATAAAAATAAATAAATAAATAATATATGTTATATATTATACATATATATTATCCATAGGGCTTGTGGTGCTATTGCAGAATTATCCGAATTTGCTAGCATGTCTGAAAAGTTTGGTGTCCAAAAAATTGGCAGTCAACTCATTTTCGATCATGTTACAGTGAAGTGCTATGATCCTAAATTTCAACATTGGCTTTCTCTATTAACCCTTTGTGGTCCCAAACTTTTACCCACTTTCCGGTCGTTCTGGTCTGAAACTATTTCACTAGTTTGAGGCACCACGAAAGAAAACGACAACTGTGGGAAATTAACTTGGCGGTTGTTTATTTCGTCAGTTCCTCTTTGTCCCCAAGTTATTTAGCGATACTTGGGCAGTGTGTGGAAGCGTTCAAAGCACTCTCCTGGGTGCAGTCCGGGATTATTTCTGCAGGTTTTGCAGAAGAACACTGTTTCCCTTCTGCCCCCTTTTGTTTTCCGGTTACTGCAAACAGCGCAGTCCTTGCTGCTTCGGCCAGGGAGCTTGTAGATGAAATGGGGCTTTCCGTGCAGCCTTTGTTCGCAATCCAATCTTGCAGATGGGCCCCGCTTCCCAGCGCGAGCCCTTACGCCACCAACCAGCTGCTCTATCAGGTTCCTCCAGTACTGGAGGAGTCGCTGCTCTTTTTCTCCCTGCTTCAGGAGCTGCAGTCTCATCAAAATGAAGCTGTTCACTATCGAAACTTCCAGAAGCCAAAAAAAAAAGCTTCCTCCACCATTTCATTGACTTCCGGGAAAATGCATAACTTGCACAGTAATGATCGGCCCTGTCCACTGCAACCATGTTTTCAGTGTAGTCGCATATCACCACAGGCTTCTTCAGTGTCAGTGTTTTTCCTCCAGCCATCTTCCTTGGCACTTCTTTCGTAGACGCATTGTGGGCTGAGCTTAGCATTGTCACTTGACGCTTATCCCGCCAGGCAAGTGCCATGTACGAGTTTCCTCTGAAATAAGCCGTCACTTCACCTTTTTTCATCTTTTTTTTGAGCTGCTGCGGCATTTGTTTTCGATTTGTCATCACCGTCCCAGTTAGCAAAATACTGTGCGAAAGTAACTCTTCCGCAAGCATTGGGGACGTATAAAATCTGTCCGTATACAGATGATAGCCACTGCCCGGTGTAGCTTGCTCCACTTTCTCCAGCAGGTGGAGCAAAATCCTGCATGTGAAGGGAAGCTCGGGACGACAGAGGCTATCAGTTGTTGTGCTGCCGTAGTATGGTTCAAAGGCCGAAATGTAGCCTGTTTGGCAGTCAGCCAGCGCATAAACGCGCATGCCCCATTTTGTTGGCTTCTGGGGATTGTAGCACTTGAATGAGACTCGGCCTTTGAAGCCGACAGTACTTTCATCTACGCAAATTTTGGGGCCGGCGTTGAAATGCTCTCTGCATTTAGCATCTATGTAGGTCACAACATCCCTGATTTTGCTTCCACGAGTTGATGGACCTGAAGAGGTATGTGGGCTTGGTGCAACATGCAGCATCCAAAATATTTGAAGAAACCTTTTTCGTTTGAAAACGTGTGGGAAAAAAGGCATCTTCTTGAGGAGGTCGTTGCTAAAGTATTCTTTCAGCTCCGGTTTGGGGTTCAAGGCCATGTTCACTATAACTTCTAGGAAGGCTTTGAATTCTTCCACGCGCACATATTCCCAGTCATTCCAAATCGAGTACTGCTGAAGAACACCGGCACTCGAGATTTTATCACGGGCGTAACGGTTCGTTTCGCGCACTATTTGCTCAATCAGCTGGTCGGTGAAGAACAACTGAAAGTAGTCCAACTCGCACTTTACATTGGAAGAGCTTACTTGAGATCCCGGGTTCGGGACAGTAAAGGGAAGAGGGTCAAAATCTGGTAAATTATCCAAGCAGGCCGTCCAGTCGGTTTCACGTGTGGCCCTGTGTTGTTCTGTTGTTGTTGTTATTGTTGTTGTTGTTTCCCTGTGCAAATGGCTTTTACCCAAAGAAGGGGATTGGCCGATTCTAAGGTGAATTTGCCCTAAACTTTCAGCATTGTGTCATTCCTACAAATTTTTGTAACTTAATTTTGATCTGAAATACCGATATCAAGTTTGCAGAAAAAAAAAAGAAGAAAAATAGTGAGACAGTAATTTAGCAAGCAAATCGTTTAGTTGCAGTGATGTATTCTTGAACGGCGAATAAAACATCCCTGTAGCTGAAACCCAGTGTAGAGGCTCCAAATGAAAGAAGATCAGGTTGTGATAGTTGCAAGCCCAGTCTTGAAGAGGTGGTGCTAGTATGCTTTGCCTGAATAAATCGAAACGGCGACAATGTAATAAAAAATGACTGATCGTTTCCTCTTGATTACAGTAAGTGCACATAGGGGAATTCAATATGCCTGATCTATGCAAGTAAAAATTGAGGGAGGTAATGCGGCAACGAAATTTCGTGATGACAACTTCCATCATGCTTGAATTAGTCAGTTCACTGCGCCAGGGAGATAACACGTGTTTGTACTCTGGAGAAGCCGTCAGTGCAGGGTCAGATAAATTTTGCCTGATTTTAAGTGTGCGAAATCGCCCCACCGTAATGTATACTGTATGAGGGAAAATAGGATTAATTGATGTCGAAAGAGATGCCTTCGCAAGAGAATCAGTGTTGTTCTGGTTGTTTCCACTGTCTCTACCGTCCTCGTTTTCTTCCTCGCTGGCTTCTGTAGAATCACTTTCTTCGGTATCCGATGGAGCCACATAGTTGACTTCGTCACTAAAATCGTCCTCGCTTTCGCTAAAAGCTTCAGAATTACCGCTGTAGAAGGCACTCGGTGAAAAGGCGGCCATTTCGCTGCAAGCGGCGCCGAATCTGAGCTGCGTGCCACTCGAACAATAGAAGAGTTCAACCGCGTAAACTGCGCCATCTGGTGAAAAAAAACAAAGCTGAAATCAAGGCAGTTCTTGCCTTTTATAAGAGGTGGCACAACATGCACAGTAAAAAAAAAAAAAAATGCGCGCGCAATTCAATCAGGAGAAAGCGTGTCGGGCAGTGCCCAACAGCGGACCGCTGCGGCCATGTTGTGTTGTCGGGTGGGGCCCGACAATGGACCGTGGGTGATATAATTCTTTTTTTGTACTCCTATTATGCTTGAATAGTGTACAACGTATCGTGATTTTTTTTATTCACATGCCATGAACACAGCATTTAAGAAACTGCAAGAAGGGAAAGGTAGAAGCTTGCAATAAAAAAAAAATCTGTAAACAGGGGTTGTGTCAGGTCGACGTTCTGACAAGCGAACTTGTCTTTCTCAAGGCTAGAACAGAGCAGTTCTGTTGTCTTGAGGAAAATGTCTGCTTGTCGAAACGTCTGCCTGACACAACCCCTGTTTACAGATTTTTTCATGAACACAGTTTGTCTTAAAATTGATTCTGTAGCAATATCTGCTCCGAAAGCCAGTTTTTTCTGCTTAAAAATGCATTTTGGCCTGTTCCAAAGAAGCCTAAGCCAGTAGCATTACTGTGTACAGTGCATTCGTCAGAGATGTTTCTATGTGAGCTCTCAAGGCGTATCTCCACATTTTGCCTTCATCCTGAGCAGTGCCCGGAAATTTTCATCGTTTTTCAACAGCAGCACTTTAGAAATATTTATAGCACCAGAGTCGTCTGTGCCGTGAAGCGGCACTTTTTGCCTGCCACAGAAAAATAATTTTTTTGATTATTGGCAGCAAGTTCTTGCGATTTCCTTCCCCCTGCCTTTCAAGGCCGTGGTCATGTTTTATCAAGTTGTCATGCTGTGAGCGGGACCGGACTGCTAGAAAGTTATCCAACAGCGTTGTTGACATGGAATGGTAACTGCTGGATGCATGGCTCGTAAAGGCATCTGTGGCTTTCTTGTACTTGGTGAACTTCTTAGCCACAAAAGGGCCCAAGCGCTGGTGATCTCCGTTACTGGCACTCTCGCCTACAAAGACTACACAGTATTTGGATAGGGCTCCTTGAAGCTTCTCTCAATGAATGAGTCATGGGTAACGATCTACCCAGTGAGGCTGGAGTTTTAGATTTCTTTTACCAGTGGCTGGATAGTTATAGTTACCAGGAGGAGTCCACAGATTGAGCAGCAGCCCCTCCATTGTTGCTGGATCATTTACATTCTTACTCTTTGAGACAAACAGCCCCAAGTCGAAAATGTTTGCACTTGTCCGAAAGACGGAAGGTGACCCAGAATGTGTAATTTCTGAGGCACTGGCCTTGCTGCCACTTTGCGCAGGGTTGATTTCTAAGTGTTTTATTCACAATTCAGTCTCTATAAAAGTTCAAGGGGCTACTTCCAAGGTGGAAAAAATTTACATAAGCACCATTAACTTACGTTATCATTCTGACTTGTATGAACCTTGACACTGATACCTGGGCTCGGCCCAAGGATTGTCTTCCATTTGACATCTTCATGATAGTGAGCATTAGATTTATAACAAAATTGTAGTAGAAGTGTTAACAGTACTCGTATTGATGGAGCATGTCGATAGGCATCATGTGGGCTGGGGTTCTGGCCTGATAATCTCCTTCATACTCCGCATCTTCACAAAACTTCATTTTTTTGAACTGGTATTTTGCAGACAAGCTGTCCTGGCTATGACCCTGTAGTGATTGCTCATCTTTGTATGCCTGAAGATTTCAGCTCCCAGCATGCTACGTCACACAAAAGGCAAGCCTCATTTTTTTTTTTTTTTGCATACACCATTTTGTGGTTGGTTCATGTTGGCTAGGTGATGTGCTCTAGATAGAAAAAAACAGAGAATGCAGGGCACAGTTTAACAGGAGGGGTGCTAACTTCAACTGGTTTATGCATATTCAATGCAAGGTAAGGTCTGCATGTGCTCTGGTTCCAGTGGTAGCTAAATTCTCAGGGTGGGTAATCTGTTCACATTTTGTCACGATTATCTCGGGAGCGCTTGCAACCAGAATCCAATTGGGAGAGACAGATGGGAGGCTGTGGTGGCAAGAAAAACATGCTATAAACTAAATTGAAAGACAAAAGAAACACCCAAGATTCAAGTTCTTGAAAGGAACACTCAAAAGAAACACTCAAGAAGCATGGACACAATAGTCTGCTGTGAAATGAAACCAGAACTTAACTACAGTTCAAGTTAGAACAAGCTCTATCCCCAAGCCACTCATTGTAAACGGTTGAGTGGTGTGACTGTGCCTTGCCACCTGATGCTTTCCGCGTGGACAGTCGCAGCGTTCTTGTAGTTGCTCAGTACTGAATGCACGCTGGGCTGCTCATCCGAACTGCTGGATGCGTCGGCTGCGCCGACAGCACCCGGATATTTCGACACTATTGCTAATGGGGATTTGGTTGTGTCTATCATTAGTAAGTCCAGGACTTGTTGGCGTAAGCCTTGATGTACGAAACTTCAACGCTTCTAATGGTTGCTTGCTTCATGTATGCCTTTGAAAGATACTTAAGTTAGTTCTTGTAGCTGAAGCAGCTGCCGTAAGGTCAACATATATAATAGCGTATAAAACTAGCTTAATGCACTGTTACTTATGTTGACCATGAAACCAACTAGTCCAGCAAAGAAAAATTCTTGCGTGAAGGTACGCAAATTATGAAATTTTTAACGAGCTGATTGCAACAGGGAAGATTCACGACATCAGTGTTATTGAGTCGAACTTACTCCTGGGCTAGTTACTACATTACTCTCAATTAACTAGATGCCAAACTGCCGCCCGAGAAAGTGCATGCCTCAATCTGATTTCTTCTGTCACAATGCTCTCTTCGGGTGCGATTCAGCGTCGAGGTAATTCAGAGTAATTGAGCTCCTCCATTGGAATCGAGCTGCATTCTGCAAACTGTAGGGAGATATATTAACCTGCCAAAAGCACGGCAAATATTTACCATTGGCGAAGCTGTGTGTACAGTTCATCTCTGTGCAAGTGCGTAGTGTGTTTATTGACTTATTTATTTGTCCTCAGGGTCAACAGACAGTACAGTGGGGAGTACTAAAAAACAAAGAAACAAGTTTGTATGTACAAACAATACAATGTCTGTGGTTATACCACAACAGTTTAAAATAAGCAAGAAAATAAGAAAATAGCAAGTTTTAAAAAGGCAAATAGGAAAATAGCAAGAAGAAGAAATCATTCTTGTAAAAAAATAAATAAATATGGGCAATATTTCCAAATATACAATAATCGCTGTCAATACAACTGCAACTTTTTCTACATTGCAAGTCCTTAAAGGTAATGGAAGTCAAATGCAACTGGACTGCATACAAATAACCATTGTCCTCAGGGGCGTTGCATCGATGTTGTTGATCGAGCTGGGTGCAGGAGGTGTTACCTACTGTAGTTATATATAGGGTGCCCCAGCTATCAATAGCCAGAGTTTAAAAATATGCTTACACATGCAATGATGACATGATCAAATGCATTTTGCTGATGGTTGCCTGGAATGAGTCAGACTGTTCTTCGTGTTCCAATTAATTGCTTAATTAGGCCCCTTTTATTAGCAACTTTTTAAGCAACAAAATGGGCCAGAAATTTCAATCAGTAAGTTCTTGATCGGTTTCTAAAATGTCCAGTTAGGCAGTTTTGAGCTTTAGATTTTAGTGTTCTTCTTCAACTATAAATGCGGGAAAAAAAATACCATGTCACAAGCGTACTCACGTGCCAGTGTGCACGATGATTCTGGTGCTCCCTAACATTCCGCATACAAAGGATCATAGCATTTGCCCGATTGTGTGTTCCATGACAATGGTGTTGGCTTTGTGAAGATGTTTTGCAATCAGTCACCAAAGCGATAATCACCGTGACTGCTTATCGCTGTCATGAATCGGTGTGAGAGAAGCGTACGCGGATTGTCAAGGAGCACCATAATCGCGGTGCGTGTAGGCGCGCTTGTGGGTTTGTCACCTGTTATTTTTTGTATTTCGTGGGCATTTGTAGTTATCAGAAGAACACTAATACAGTTAAACCCCTTTATTTGAGGCAGGCTCCAGACAGAAATTCTTGTCTTTTATATGAGATGATTCTAATAAGCAGTGTACCATGTATGTATTTTCTTATCAACCTGTATTTTACTGTAGACAGACTGGTCTCTCTTATACCCATCTGTCTCTTATAAAGCGGCTGACTGCAATTAATCAATTTAAAGTATGAAACTGTCCAAAAATGTATAAATTGGAAACGTACGTTTTCTCATTGAAATTTTTTACCCATCTTCGCTCCTCCAAGGGTTAGTCAATTAAAGGGGCCAAACAAATAAGTAATAAGAACATAAAAAGTTGCTATGAATGACTCCAGGTTATGGCCAACTACATGCATTTGGTCGTATCTTCATTCCATGTGTCGGCATATTTTTAAGCTCTGGCTACAAACAGCTGTAGAACCTGCACGCACACACACACACCTAATATTGCAGAGCCTAGAGCACCATGTACCTTCCCGCCTGACCTCACTCTTGGTACTTTTCAGGTCAAATAAATAATTTTTAATACAAAATATTGTCATAAAGAACTGGCTCTTGTTGCAATTACATCGATAGCAGATGTGAAAAACAGTACAATTATAAGCTGATCATAGAGAAGGAAAACTTAGACCTAAGTGAATTCAGGTGAAATAACAAACTGGCTATATTCACATCTGCTCATTTTAATATGCCTGAGCTAAGCTTTGCTGCATGAAGTTCATGTTTCGTCGATGAATGCACACCTTTGACTCAGTTCCCCGTCTCGACTTCCTTTTATTTTACGCTCTCAGAGTCGCGTAACCGATGAACAGTAACCGTGGAAGCAGGCAGTTGAAAAAAAGTGGGCTTTCAATCGGCATTAAAAGAACGGGGAAAAACTGGCACAATAGAAACCACTCGTCTTTTGTATAAATAGTTATTTGTACTCAGGTTAGCCATCAAACGATCTAGCACATTAGAGCTCATCGTATAAGCATCAATGCTCTGGATATCCTAGGGACTGCCGACAAAATGATTCTAGGCTTTCACTACTGGTTTGTTACTACTTCACTTTTCGTAGCTTGTTTGTAGTCACTTAGGGCATAGCTCAGCTTGGTGTGCTTGCGAATGTCTCGGCATTCAGTGAGCAGTCCGTGCGAAGTCTGATTGCTTGCCTTCTTTGTGGTAGGCAGGCTCCTCAAGTGAGGAATGTTTTGGTGCAATCCTTGCACGCCTGCAGATTCATTTGTGTGTAATAAGGCTTAGTAGGCATTGTGATACCGATGGAAGCTCAGTAAATGCATTAGATGCACTCAAAACATGTAATTACTTGTTTTTGTAGGCTACTAGGCTCATGTGCTAAATGCAGACACTCTCCACAGCTTCGTACAAAGTACAAGTAGCGGTGACTACAGCGTCACTGCTACTGTCGCCTGTCGGAGCATCAACTGACATGTGGTGCAGTTGCTTCATTAATTTTAGGGTGCCTCAATGCCAGATCTCTGACAGGCTGATGACAACTGCGTCGCCTTCTTGCACAATCACCATTTTTTTGCATTCGTCAGTTGTGGGGTGTGCATTGGCTGCGGGGTGCACGTCCACGGTGGTGGCTTTCGCTTGCGGTGGTGGCTCCTGCTTGCAGTAAGTGCATGCGTTCTACTTTAGCGCAGACATATTCATTCCTTTGCTGGAGTAGAGGCTAAGCAAGAGTAAATTCAGAGACGCATCTACTAGTTTGATAATGTTATTTTTTTGGTACAATAGTTGATAACAGGTAACTGCTAGCCGTCGTAGACGCACTGTCACTGTGAGATTTCCATCATTGCGTTTGTGTATCTAAATAGCGGAAAATAAGCTAACTACAAGAAGGAAAAAAAACTTAACTACTGTGTGTTTAACGACCCATGTCCAGCATCCAGGCCCATAGCCAGGAAGGGGAATGCTTTAGACCCCCTTTACCATAGAAATTTGTATCGAGGGGGTGTTATACCGAAAATAAATAATGAACATGCGGGTTTTTTAAAGCCTTCAACAAGTGGGCCCGCTCCCCAAAAATTTCTGGCAACGGGCCTGCCGGCATCCTTACGACCAATCGCACTATTACTTGGCTGCTACACGGTTACATGGCGGCAAGCTTTGTCAGTCATACACCAGGTAATCAGAGAGTTACATGCGAAGGAGTACAATCAATCGTGTCACTTACAAAATCATCATCATTCCAAGCTGCCCTAACATTGCTTTGGAAGGAAATCCTTCATTGCCTAAAAATATCCGCATGTTTCGTAAAAAAAAAGTCACAGCTTTGTCGCAAAGACGAAGCAATAAACGCGATAGGAATAAACTGGAAGGTCACGCACAAATATGGAAACAGATCAAAACGTGCCCTGCGTTTCTCACGCGCGAATGACTCACAAAACGTACTCACAGCTACATATGAACGCGAATAAACGTCTCAGTTGTTACTTCGCTGTGTTTGAAAAGCGCACTCTTTTCTTAAACGGAGACTGTGCATCGATTGCAAGACTTTCGTGCACCCGCTAAGTACAACAATCGTTCCCGTGAACGCCAAAGGCCAGCCAAGACGTACAACTTTTGCCACAGCGAGATAAGGGCACGTGACTGAGCGTCCACCCCTTCCTCTCTGTGAGGCACTCGTGGGAGATGAGAGCGCACGCCGCCACGTCGTGACGATGCGCGCTCATTGCGCCATCTTGCAGGTAATGCTGAAAACACGATATTTTCCCCCCAAGATG